TTATGAGGCCTCTCCAGCCACATGGAACTGTGAGTCCATTAAACCTCTTTTTCTTTATAAATTACCGAGCCTCAGGTATGTCTTTATCAGCAGTGTGAAAACAGACTACTACACTGTTTCCCCGTTTATTGCCATTAGATCACATTAGACTATAGCCCCTCTGTCTTCTTGTATGTCTCCACGACTGTTCACTTTTCACCAAACCTAGCATGAAAACACATAGGTTTAACTGCTCCTTTGGGTTTCACTTCCCTATGAAGGCTTCTGTGTCACATCAAACTTATGCTGAATAAACATGTATACTTTTCTATTAGTCTATCTTTTGTTATAGGGGCCTCAGCCATGCACCTAGACTGGGGAGAGAAAAAGGTGTTTTTGTCCTCCTCTCCAAAGCAATGGAGTGAAGCAACAGGATTTGTCTTCTGAGGCCCTTTATCTGCTTTGGTCCCGCAGTGTCCTGTGCCGACCTTAACTTCCCCCGAGTAGGAACCCACCCAGACTTGATCTAAAGAACAAACAATGTCTTCATTCAAGTGCTTTTCTTTCCTACTCTTTTCTCTTCTAAACTTGCCTGTCTCTTGTTCCAAAACCTTAAGGTCTTACAGGAATCTAGCAAACCAAGCCTTTAAATTAGCCATGTGAAAGTATTAATGTCTGGGCGTGTCTAAGACAAAGCTGATTGCATTGCTTCCCATAGTAAAAGACAACTATGCTGACCAGGCTCATCTCTTTGAGCAGAGTAGAATGCTGACTTAATATAGAATTTTTGGCAGTGGTGTGCTGGTAAGCCAGCTCTTTGCAGGGTGGCAGGGAGAAAGTACTGATTTATGGCATTTGCCAGTATCCATGATGTAAGTAATCCCACCATGGCCTGACTTCAAGCCACTGATGATGACTTAACAAAAGACTCCTAAATATTTAACAATTGGCTCTTGCTAATCCTCAGAGGCTAGCCCTAGTACGCTACTTGGTTGGGAAGCATGGAGTTCAAGAACTGGTGGACTTTCAAGAGTGTGAGTGACACACGTCATTTGTAGGATCAGTGTCAGTTGGTTGAGACTTGGACACTCAGAGGAGCTGGTACTGGTTGGCTGACTTTTAGAAGCAAGAGGCTGACGTGGATTGGTTAGCTTGCCAAGCTTACACTGAAGTGAGTTGTCATTAATCCACTGCTTAGGCTTGAAACCAGTTCTGACAGCTACTTGATATTATGGGGACACAAAAATCCATTTCTTAAATTTGTAGGACCATTTCTGTTCTTAGATGTTACCCACACTGGATTAAAAATGTTAACTCAGGCCTTTCTTAGAAAAGACTGGACAAGATGGGCCACTTATTACTCAGTTAGTGACTTCAGTTAGAATGATAGCTTTCAGAGGGTCAGTGAAGCTAAGTGCAGAGGAATCCTCCACTAACATTAAAACAACTTCATCTCGATGAGATGTGTTTCCTATCTTTTTCTTCTTTCCTTATTTCTATGGACTTTTATGAATCCAGGCTTAACTAGAAGATTTGTGGGTAGGACTTTTGATTCATTTTATTGGGACAATCTGAGATTTATTTCTTTGAGATAAACTTCAGCAACTCTTCATTCTTGGACCATAACTATAGACAAACAAGGTATTAACAGGACACCAAGTTTGGCTGGTTTGCAGAGGAAGACCGTATCTTACACCTAATAAGCATGGTCACACAATGTTCCCTCATCACTCCCCCACCCACACCCACACGCAAACACACATGCCAATTCCTGATCTGTGAACATGGAGTAGGAATTCTTTGTGAATCAGAGCTGCAGGAGGTTGGATTGGTACCCATATTTTCTTAGCTCATGCTAGAATGGCCTGCAATACTTATTTTACCATTTAGTGACTTGTTAATGTTAAAAATAGTTTGAATCTGGAGTCAGCAACACCATCTCCATGTGTCTTCAGTAAAGGAGTCTGTTCTCGTCTCCAGTTAGCCCTGCTCAATCCCTTCTGGACCTAGAGTAAGATCTCCACATAGACCATGTCTACCTGCCCTGTGACTGAGAGCAGGGATTTGGGGGCCTGAAAGCCTGGGTTTAACCAAAGGTTCTCACGGGTCACCTGTGTGACCTCAGCATGTACTACTTATGTAAACAACGTAAGAGACATGGAGTAAATAATTTCATCTTCACAATACAATGAGGTAGGCACTATTAGATTCCCCATACAAGATCTGTGGATGCCACACACAGGCCAGACTTTGCCCCAGCTGCTGAAGAGGACACTAAGTCTGTCCCATTCATTCTTCTGTATAAAGAGAAGAGAAGAATGAGGCTGGTGCGATGGCTCACGCCTGTAATCCCAGCAATTTGGGAAGCTGAGCAGGGTAGACTGCCTGAGTTCAGGAATTCGCGACCAGCTAGGCAGCACAGAAAAACCCCATCTCTACTAAAATACAAAAAAAAATTAGCCAAGTGTGCTGGCATGTGCCTGTAGTCCCAGCTATTTGAGAGGCTGAGGCAGGAGAATTGCTTGAACCCAGGAGGCAGAGGTTGCAGTGAGGCAAGATCACTCCACTGCACTCCAGCCTGGGTGACAGAGGAAGACTCTATCTCAAAAAAAAAAAAAAAAAAGAAAAAGAAACAGAGAGAGAGAGAGAAGGATAAGGATGGAAAGGAACACAGAATGAAGAGGCAACACAGTTTTGCAGAAGTGAGTAATCACGCAGAGAACCAAAGAAAGGCCCGTTGGTCCTGCTCTATGTTCCCAGCCTCCAGGCCCAGCCCCAGGACCTGACCCTCAACAGATTGCCCAAGCTCTTGTGTCCTCAAACCTCTTAGGTATACAGATCTAGTGGCCTTTCCTCAATGCACATTCTTGCTAAGCTCTGAGAAAATGTTTGCCCCTGCTGGCTGTCTCCTGCCTCCTCCATTCTAGGTCATTCTCCAGGGTAGAGGCAGCCAGCAAACAGCTACATGTCTGGACCCTGGAGCCAGACTGCTTGGGTCCCATTTCTGCAATCACCTGCCTGGGCTTACACTATCCGGGACTCAGTTTCCTTATCTATAATATGGGGATTCTAACGGTGCGTACTTCGTTGCACTGTCATGAAGATGAAATGAGTGACCGCACATAAAATGTGGCTCTCATTAATATACATAAGTAAGTGCTATTAATATACATAAGGGCTTGTTACTGTTATGATCCCAGAGCCCCATTTCCCACAGCTTCTCCCTTTCTCTAGTACATTTCTCTTCCACAGTTCCTCTTAACTGCACGTGTCCCCTAAGTTCTATCCTCACCCTTCTCTCTAGCAATGCCTACTTTGTGAATTCATTAGTTCTCCAGATTCCAAGTCTCTTCCCCATACTGCTGACTCTCCAATCAGTGTCTGTGGCCTGGGCCCCTAACCTAGGCTGCTCTCTCCCCTTTCCGCTCAGACGCGTCACTGTCATCTCAAATCAAACATGTCCTTGATGGAACTCAACATCTTCCTCTTTAAGCAGGATCCTTATTCCCTCACCCACTTATGACACCATTCCAGCTTCCGACTCTCCCATTCTCCTCCTTTTCCCACTATCCAACCTATTAGCAAACCCTGCAGCTCTTCCAATAACTTCACACTGATCCACCCCTTCCACTGCATTCCCACTGCCCCCACTATCCGGGCCATCCTTCCCAGCACAAACCATTACCCAGCTTCACAACAGATGTCCCCTTGATTAAGGAAAGTGCTTCTTTGCTGGGCCGAATTGGTGTTCCGAGTGGAAGAGTTTTCAATGCAAAAGGCAGCCCTGCTGAGAGGCTGGACTCCTATATGATGCATTCAGCCCTACAGGCTGCTAGCACTGAGGACCAGCTGGACACCCTGTGCCCCAGTCCTGAGATTAGGACACACACTCGCACACACACACTCATGCATGGTCACACACACATGCACACTCATACATGCACACTCACATACACTTGCACACACACGCACATTCATGAACACTCACATGCACATGCACGCACACACACACACATACACTCGTGCATACACACTCTTATGGACACACTCACACATGCACATTCATGAACACTCACACATACACTCACACACACTCACATGTCCAGGTGGCCTCTGTTTGGGAATGGGGACATCATTAGTCCAGCTGAGGATCATGGAGCCTTTTGCAAATCGAACTCATCCCATACAAAGCTTCTCAGACACAGATGGCTCAAGCCTCCTCCACAGTCTCTCCCTTCCTACCTGCCTCCTTCATCACCTCTTCTTCCCAAGGTGCCCTCAATTCTCTACTTCCGTTCTTACCCTCCCCCTGCCCTTGGCTCTCCACTTCCTCTCTTACCCCCACTCCAGGCCTCCAGCTGCTTTTGCTCCTTTTCCCTCTTGTTGCCTGACAGCCCTCCCAGTACTTGCTGTTTGTACCCTATTCATCCTCCCAGCCCGGCTTGTCCTTTCCCTGACTGCACCGTCAAATTCCCAGGCCTGCTCTAAACACCTTAGCATTAGTTCCACCGGGTCTGTCTCTTTGTTACTCTCTCTGATTCTCATGCATCACCTTGGCAGCTGAATTGGACATTCAGTTTGTTGAGAACAGAGGCCACCCCAGTCTTTCACTTCCAGGCCCTGGCAAGGAAAAGGTAGCAGCCTCCTAGGTGATGCCACTTGGTAGTTTTCAAAGTTCCTGATCAAAACCTGGTCACTTAGCCCTGCCCACTACCAGCCTGGGATGAATCCCTGCAGGAAGGTTTTAACCACCAGAACAGAATTGGAGCCAGGGAAAATTTCAGCTTCTCAACAGCTTTTTCACTGAGGATCCAAAATAAGAAAAGGCTGGTGCCAGCAGGTGACAAGCTCATCACTGGAGCGAGATGATCTGTCTGTGCCAGGCACTGATTCATTAGCACACTAGAAGTTGATGCTGAAGGTGGTCTGTGTTTCTTCCTCTCCATAAGCCCTGCCGTTGACTCACACTCATCAGCAACATACATGACAGCAAAGCTAAGCAGCATAGCCGGTGTCCTTACCTTCTTCTGCTTGGTGCAGGTCAGTGCTGTCTTTTAAGTCTTCATCCACCCAGGGGCGAGCCTCGGCCCTGGCTGTAGCCTCCCCCTTCTTTTTCTCCATGCTTCTATTAACATTTTTAAAGATCCACACAACCAAAATGCAGAGAATGGCTACCAAGATGGGAGTCAGGAAGAACATGGTTCGGAGTCTGATGCACAGGGGTGCACACTTCCCACACCGGTTTTTAAACACACGGAGATAGAAACAGAGAATGCTGGGAGATGGAAGGAATGCAGAGAGAGCTGTGCCAGGGAAGGAGCAAAGTGCATAACTCTTTAGCTCTATGAGGACTTTGCCAAGGAGCAAAGATCACAGTCACATGTGTGGGGTGTTGTGGCTTTGGTCATGCACCAGGGCATTCACTTTTTAAAATTACGTACTCAAGCAGCATATTCTTAGACAGCAATGCCAGAATCTGAGTAAGAACTTGCACATGCTAGATCGAGCTAGATCACGCCACCAACTCAGATCTGCTGGAAGAAAATGTTCAGAAAAGAGGTTTGGTAAGATGCATTTTAAATAGCATGTTTATGAAGCACAGCCCTAGGTTTTTGATTTTTTTAAATGATACCTGAGCCAATATGTGAAATAAAGAGAATATCATGTTTTGCAGCAGAGAAAAGCTTTGATCTAGGAAAAGTGACACAAAAAAATTAAAGTGACAACTTGGTTATTTATATAATAGCTTCAGTAAGGCTTTTTGTTTGTTTGTTTGTCTGTTTTAGTAAGGGCCTTAGTCAATTATGGCTGAAATAACAAAAATGCTATGGACCAGGTGGCTTAAATAACAGAAATTTATTTCTTGGCCAGGCATGGTGGCTCATGCCTGTAATCCTAGCACTTTGGGACGCAGAAGCGGGCAGATCACTTGAGTCAGGAATTGGAGACCAGCCTGGCCAACATGGTGAAACCCCTTCTCTACTAAAAATACAAAAATTAGCCAGGCATGGTGGCAGGCACCTGTAATCTCAGCTACTCAGGAGGCTAAGGCAGGAGAATAGCTTGAACCCAGGAGGCGAAGGTTGCAATGAATCAAGATTGTGTCACTGCACTTCAGCCTGGGTGGCAAGAGCAAAACTCCCTCAGAAACAAAGAAGGAAGGAAGGAAGGAAAAAAAGAAAGAAAGAAAGAGAAAGAAAGAAAAGAAAGAGAGAGAGAGAGAAAGAAAGAAAGAAAGAAAGAAAGAAAGAAAGAAAGAAAGAAAGAAAGAAAGAAAAGAGAAAATTTATCATAGTTCTGTAAGTTAAGAAGTCCAAAATCAAGGTGCTGGCAAATTAGCTCCTGGTGAGGGCTCTCCTTTTGGTTTGCCAACAGGTACCTTCTTGCTGTAACTTCATATGGTGGATGGTGGAGACAGATCATCTCTCTCTTCTCGTTTCTTATAAGGCCACTCGTCTCATTAATAAGGGCTCCACTCTCATCACCTGTTCAGCTCCCAAAGGCCCAAACTCCAAATACCATTATATTGGGGGTTAGGGCTCCAACATATGAACTTTGCCAACACATTCAGTCTTTAGCATCAAAGTACAAAAGTATGTATAACGTGATGCCATTTGAATAAAACAGAGTGGAAAATATGATACATTTATACAAGCCTATATATATATAATATTTCCTGGAAGAGTATACGCTAAACTTTAAAGAGTGGTTATATAAGGAATT